GGCCTCTGTGTCACAGGCAGCAAAAGCACATTTTTGCCAGTAAAGCTGTGTCTCCATAGCTGTACTGGTAAAAAGAGCTGATACAGCTATACAGGCAGCCCTTTTTCAGTGTAGACTAGACCTGAGAGTTGCTTTCGGGACACTCTTTGGGGAAGATCTCTTTTTGAGAGCCTGGCCTCTCTATGACCAGAGGCTCTGTGAGTACAAGGAGCTCCTTTGGTGCACTTACGCATCAGGTGCAGGAGCTGTCTCCTCCATGAATGTTATCTCTGAATTATAGTATTTAAAAATTGTAAGTTGCCAAAGTCAAGCATTCAAATGTTAAGTGCCAGTGGCAGGATTGTCCAGCCATCTTTGTTCCTGTGCTTATGCATTATGCTAGCAATTCCATGAGGCCATAGCCTCATTCAGTTCCTGGGAGAACACTGCATGGTGAATGACCAGCTATTTGATATTTCTTTTTATCCTTCCTTAAGTCTCATCAGTCCTTTTTTTTTAACCACACACCTTTCAAACATGGCAGTTAATACCAAAATTAATTTCCTCAGAAGGGTTTCTGTGGTGCTGTCATTGCAGTATCTGTTTCAGCAATGAGGGCTAGTGGTATTGTCTCCATTTTTATAGTTTAAGAACTGAGACAGATTAAAGCCCAGACTATGACAAGCATCCACTAAATTACAGTGCCCACCTTGGGACTTAAAGTAGTTCACGTTTTATAGCACGTTCTATATGTAAAGCACAACTACCACTGATTTCACTTAAGTGCTGAACACTCACAATGCGTGTAAATCTGTGCCCAAGGTGCCTCTAGTCAAGAGCTCAGAAAAAGCAGAAACTCTCTATTACTGATCACATGTGGAAAGTTTGGTTTAAGCAACTTGTCCGCCTAAAGGAGTTATGCACCAGGGACAGAATTTGCTTCTAAGCCTTAACCATGAATCTATTCTGTCTCTTCCTCTGCTGTCCTATTTCATTTACTACACATCTTGCACGTTCCAAAACAAATGAGGTACTACAGATAACAGCCTCACTATCTACCTATACTATTCATTATCCATTCCCAGGGCACTGCATACCCATGCACTGAAGGAGGCAGAAAGAAGAAAATAGGATATGGTCATATAATTAAAGACTGTATCATAATGTATATAACACAAAGGGTTACAAATTAAGGTTGCACTGGGCTCCTAATGGCTAGACTTTGCAGACTAATTTTTTTTCCCTGTATGCGTCTTCCTAATTTAAAAGAAAACAAACAGGAAAAACTAGAAATTCCACCACATGGAACCATATTGGCTCCTAGACGGCTCATCACCAGATGTGAGACCTATGGATGAGCAGCACAAAGCTTGAGGGGCTCAAGCTAATGAAGTAATCGAGAGCAATAGAAAGTGATTATTCCCCTTATAGGCCAGAATGGGATGAAACACATTTGCAGGCAGGAGCCACAGCTTCAGTTCCAGCTTCTGGAGAGGAGTATTTTCTAATGGTTCCAGATCTTGTCTCCCTAGTGCTCCTATTCCCTTGTTTTTCATAATTCTCCATGGGAATCAAGTTGTGTGTCTTGCTCCTCATTGCTTGGGCTCCAAGAGCAAGGCCTATGTTTGCACTTTCAGCTTCCTTAATCCACAGTGACACCTGGTGGCTGGAATGAGCAATTGTGGGGGAAGTTCTAGCTTGTCTTGGGACAGGCGAAAGAACTGAGTTTGTTTTATCAGTCCCAATCCCAGGCAGGGCTCTGGCTTGAGTTGTCACATCTCCCTAGTGCAGGAGCTGCAGCTAAAACTGTCAATTTCCAACCTGACAGGGAAGCTGCCAGGAAAGCTCAAACATATGGTACCCCACTTCTCATACCCTGCAACCATCATTTCTGCACTGGTCTATGGCTGCCCAGCCCAGAAAGCATCCTTGCCAGCAGCACAGAAGCAGGGTGGGAATTCCAAGACTCCCCTACAAAAGCCTTGTGACCACCCCTCTGCCACAACCTCCTTTTGTATCCAGATGCCCAGTTACACCAGTGTGAAATTTTGGGTGTAAACATCTGAAATGAGGAAATTGATCACTTTTTAAAATCCTACCACAATGGACCATGAATTAGATAGGGTCATATTAAACAAAAACTACATGATATGGAAGTAACTGCTAGGTGAAGGCAGTAGCACAACCCAAGGATGCCTGCCACTTGTTATAAGACCTAGTTTTCAGTTCCCTGGAACTCTTCCTTTGAGGTGAAATTGTCTAGACCAGCTGTCTGCCTCCAGCTGATTTTCCTAAATAAATACATAAATAAAAATTCAGCCAAAGTGGTTCAATTTTTTCCACGAACAATGTTATGGAACCATGCTTTGATCTGGTCCTGTTAAATGATTACATAGTTTTTGAAAAACTCTAGCACCCTCAAAAATGTTTGGCTGGAAGGGGCCATGAGAAGACATCAACTGCAGCCATGCATGCTGAGGCAAGACAATACCTTGAAGCAGGGACTTGAAATATGGGCCAAGATAGGGGAGGGAAGGAGCCTTTGATAGGAATGTGCTTTTTGCTTCAAATTTGGCCACATTCTAAGTACCTGAAAAACTGCAGTTTGCATGGTTACATTGGCTAGAGCAGGGTGGGCAATAATTTTTGCTGGGGGGCCCACTCCAAGATTTTGGTAAGTGGCCATGGGCTGCACTTTCCTATGGAGATGTGGGATCTGGGACAGAAATTGGGTGCAGAAAGTTGCTCAGGGTAGGGGTTTGGAGTGCAGGAGGTTGTGATCAGGGCAGGGGATTGGGGAGCAGGGAGTATGGGTGCAAGAGAGGAATTTGCCCTGGGGGAAGGGGTTGTAACCTGGAGAAAGCTGCAGGTTTGGATGGTGATTTGTGTCAGGAAGGGCTGGTGACCTGGTTCAGGGAGTTGAGGAAAGGAGAGAGGTGTGGTGGAGCTGGGCTGTGGCTGGGAGGCACTTACTTAAGCAGCTCCCTGCCTGCCAGTCCCAGGCTGCCCCATCTCTTAGCTGGCTTCTGCAAAGCCTCCCCTTCCTCATACTGCAGAGCCACAGGGAGCAGCCAGCCACTTAAAGCAGTATGTGGCTGCTCTATGCTCAAGGGTCCTGGCAGAGCAGCCTGTGGGCTGGATCTAGTGGCTTGGCATGTTGGATCTTGGCCCACCCCTGGGCTAGAGCTTTACAGCTTAATTTTCCCAAAAAGATTCCATTTGAATTATCCATACTGCAAGGACCTAAAAAAGGTTTTTCCTTGCAAGCGCAGCTTTGTGCTGCTCTAGGCCGCACCAGAACAAAGTCTCTCACCTGTACAGCCAGTGACCACTCATCCTGGCCCCAACACCCAGGAAACATGAAAAGGAGGTCAGCTGAATTATATACAGGGGCCAGAGATGAGGGATACCTAAAAAAAGCTATGTGAAATGGTTTGTAAGGGGACTAAGCTCACACAAGGAGGCAAACTAAGACCCAGTGGCGAAAGACAGAAATATCTGCCAGGTAGCTATGGGATTACCTGGATAAGAGACTAGGACAAGGAGCCAAAAGGTGGTGGGAGATGCTGGCACTGGGCAAGAACTGGGAGCAAGTAGAGACTGTAGGAACTAGACTATGGGTGAGGTATAGCAGATGAGGATCCAGGAATGGGATTGTGGGATAGGGAGCCCTGCCCCTCCAGTTTTCAGTCAATGATGCAGTGTTTTTGGCAATGAATTTGTTTGTACATAGTCAAACTTATTCTTTCTACAGAAGGACCAGTGAGGTAGCACAGCACTCTGGCTGGATATGGGCTAGCCAGTAGGTAGTCAGTCATTGGAGCACAGGTATTACAGAAGATAGCTAATGCAAATAAAGCAGACTTACTAGCCGTGTCAGGTGTGTGGACTTGGCAATCATTACTATGCTTATTAATATGAAGCCTCAAATCTTGGCCCCCAGGGACTCTAACTCCTATACAGTTCTAAGAACCAAGGAGCCATAGAAAAGGGGAGCAGTAGCTAAGGAACTAGGATTTTGCCAGGCACCTGTCTTACTGAAAGGACAAATGTGTTGTATTTGAACACATTCCGTTCAGCATAAACCACCATCAGGATTTTCAAACAGTTCTGCTCCCTTATCAGTATGGTAAGAATTAAATTAATTTAGAACCTGCCCCTGACTTTCACTATTACTTTCTAGTGAAGTCACTGCTGGGACCTTAGAAAGGTTTGTTTAATTAGATATTTAAAATTACCTAATAATTTATCCTACAAGCACTGAAAATACTTTTGACTTGCAAGTTGCTAACATACCATACTGTACTTGTTTACAGTAAACTGCAGCAAAAGGAAGAAACAATAGGGAGTGGAATCTTATTTTTAATATAGGAAGTGTTTTGGAGTGGTCTTTGCAGAGACTGTGGCTGAGTTTTAAAGCTGAAAATTTAGCATTTAATTGAAGTTCTTACCAACTGAAATTGTTATTCAAAGTCAACAGGAGCAGCTTGTTGGAATTCAAAGTGAAAAAGGTAGGAAACGGATTTTTTACTTTCCCAAGCCTAACCAAGAGACTTGACATACTTTGAAGATTGAAGTTTTGTAGTATAGTAATTTCCCTAAGAAATATTCTTAATGGAAACTTAGCATTTGCAATTAAAGATTTTTACATCTCTCATTGCCACATTGTATACAACTAACACAGTACAGTCTTAGATTAATTAGCTAACTAGTTTTGCCAATTTTTCTAGACTCTAATAACAGTCTTTTCCCCTGAAATTCACTTAAAGTTATTTGGAGTGGGAGGGCAATTGCACTCATACCTTCACAGCAGAATACGCATACTAACTACTCCTCAGAAACTTAAAGCCCAATCCTCTAATGACTTTGCACAGAGTTAACTCCATTTACCCCATAAGTCGGTTACAGGGTCATTCAAGGAAAACTTCACCCCTCATTTTAGAGTCCAAAATTTGTCGAAACGCCTCCTGACATTTACAGTTTAAATCAGATGTGTAATGAATGTTTAATTAGACACTAAATTTTGGATGACACAGCATTATATTTATTTCAAACAAGACAGCTTCTAACAGAATGGTAACACTTCTATGCTGCTCACATTTTAGAGAACACTGAACATTCCTACTTTTCAAGCCATAACTACTGTGAAAAGGATAGAAGCAGCCTAAAATATTTTCTTTTAAACAGAGTAAAATTAAGATTTAAAAGTAACCCATATTTCCAAGACTGTGTTCAAGTTCTTGCTTAGCAATAAAAACAAAAGCCTGTTTTAAGCAGCAAGTACTACCAAGTGGAAATATACATGGCCAGTTTTAAACAAAGTGACATGTCACTTAGTACGGCCTCATGCGTCCTGATGGGGGTGGTGCACGATTTGGAGGAGTAATTGCTATATCCAAATAATCTCCAATCTGGAACTTCTGAGACTGCAGAGTCATGGAATCATCTGTGCCCTTTCTGCCTGACATTGTGCTGCCAATCTCCTTCACCCTGCAAAGAGGAAATGAAATGCAAATAAATTGAGGCAAAGAGTCCATCTCTCTAAATGGCAAACTTATTTAAAGCTCAAATACAGGCCTTAAAATATTATTTAGGTTCCCCCCCCCCCACATACACACACCCCTTCAACTAACTGAATACAAAGATGGCACTCACTTCACACAAGACAGTCTTCACTACAGAGACAGCACAACTCAGTATCCAGCAATTACAAACATTAAAATTTTAGATCAGAGAAAACTGCCAAGTTAAAGGGGACAAGACTAGTAAAGAAAACACTGCTAATGGCATAACAATATACACTCACTGCCCTTAAACTGATTACTGACAAATAATTGCCTACATCACTGACATGGGACCATTATGCCAAAAACATCAGTCTGAAGATCATAAGCATTTAGTAGAGAATCTAGTCATTCCCCACACTACCAGAGAGATCATAAGCCTTTCATTGCAGCTACCTATCCTGGGTGGTTGCCTAGTCTGTTGGTCACCTCATAGGCAAATCCTTGTTCACTCTTTTGAGAAGGACTGAACAAAAACTCTAGAAACATTGCAGTCACCATGCAGTTTTCTGTTTTTCAGATAATATCGTATTGAAAATCAGTTTACAGCTCTGCTGACTGAAAAATTCCATGAACCTGGAGAAGAAATGTCATTTACCTATAGCCAGGTCTCTTCAATTCTGTAAAAACTATTGCAAAATTGAAGTGTGTGCCTTTCTTCCGTGCTTCTGGATACACCTCTTTCACCAAACTGGTAAGCTCTTTTAAAGTGGCATCCATCCTAGATTTAAAAACAGACAAATTACAACTCACCAGGATGGTTCATATTCTCAAATATATAAAAATGTCAGATCCCATTTAAGATAAGTGACAGTTAACCACATACTATCAATTATAAAAACAAGGAAATAGTTCATGTGTGCAGCTTTTATATACATATGTATTTCATGCTAGTCACTTAAAACTTCAACGAGGAACTATTTTTAAAGTATTTAATCTTAAAAAAATAAGTTATTCAAAACATTCTGAGCATCTTACTCTAAATATCTGAAAACATAAGATGCCAATTAAACATGGAGGCAAAATGGTCTAGTAGATAAGGCATTGGTCTGAGATTCAGATTTGGGTTCTAATCCTGGCTCAGCTAACAGCCTCCTATGATGTTGGGCAAGTGACTTCATCTCCATCCTTTGTCTAGTCTATTTTGATTACAGAATCATTACAATAGGAACCTTCTGTCACTAAGTAGTAGTAACATCTCTACTGCAGAGATCCTGATCCTGGGTGTGGCCTCCAATATAAGGTAAGAAATTGTAATTTGTAACACTTGACAGAGAAAACCAAAATTCTCAGCTTTATAAGATGATCATGGCTACTATCCTGAGAGGAAGCATAACTACATTTAGAGTTACAATTAGGGCTGTCAAGCAATTAAAAAATTTAATCATGATTAATCACATGCACTGCCCCTTTAAAACACAGCAGAATCTCCCCAGCTGACCCCAGGCTCCTAACGCGCTGCCCCTGTGACACACCAGTGCATCACAGGGGCAGCGCAAGGCAGAGCCAGGGATCAGCTGGACACTCCAGCTGATCCTGGGCTCCGCATTGCACTGCCCCCGTGCTTCAAAGAAGCAGCACATTAGGAGCCTGGGGTCAGCTGGAGTGCCCAGCTGATCCCCAGCTCTGCGTTGTGCTGCCCTGCCCTTTGGAAACGCTGGGGCAGCCTTTCCAAGGGTCAGCTGGGCACTCCATCTGATCCCTGGCTCCTCATGCACTGCCCCTTTGAGGTGCCAGAGCAGCACTTCAAAGGGGCAGTGCAGCATTAATGCCTGCAATTAACACGTTAAAATTAAACGCATTAATCCTGCCCTGCGTTAGTTGCAGGCATTAACGCACATCAATTGACAGCCCTAGTCACAACTCAAAACCTGAATACAAGGTTCCAAGACCAAAAGGACTCAATTATCTAGGCTAAAAATAACAGCAGGTATGCAAAAAAAATTTTATTCACTCAAGGCTCTAAACAGTCAATCGAAGATATTGTGCTGTGACAGAGCCTAATCTGGTTTCTGTTGAAGACAAAAATTTCCCAGACATCAGTGATGAAAACTGGTCCACAGTGCCCATTAAAATGAATACAGCAGGACTGGGACTCCAACCTATTCAAAAAGAAAAGATAGTTTATTAAGCTGTGTTACTGATGCACAAGTTTCAAGGAAATTTTGGTATATGGAAAGTTTATAGTTGTAACGATATCTGTGACAAAGCAGTTTTAGGACAAAGTGCAATTTTAAGTCAGCATCAGCAACATAAGTTTAACGTTCTTCAAATGTGGAAGACAACTAATGTTTTGCAACATTGTTTGGCCCCCAGCTTGCCAGAGCTAGTTTTCCAAACTAAAATTAAGGGACAAAAATGAGTTCATAAAGAACACTGGTTGCTACCTAACACCAGAGATAATCCATTCTCCACAATACAAAGAATACCACACAAACGGCTCACCCATAAAGTGTGCAAAACATAGGACAAAAATTACTAAGTACATAATACGCTACCTTTTGGGATAACATTTTAGTTCTTTATCTCTTGAAGACTACAAAAACATACTTACAACATCACAGTTGTACCATTACTAGCTCACATTAGGGATATTAAATTGATTAATCAATTAATTGAGTAGTTAATTGAATTTCCACTACTCAATTAGTTGATAAGGGTGGGGTAGGGTGCTTGCTATTCCCACTGTGCCTCTACCTTTTAACTATAGTAAGAGCTGCCCTGCCGGACTCTTGCTAGATTTCAAAGGGCGAGGCAGTGCAGGAAACCCAGGGCAAGCAGGGACTCAAGCAATCCCTGCTCACTTTGGGTTCTGCCTCTTCCTGCTACATTTCAAAAGGAGAGGCAGAACCCGAGGCAAGCAGGGACTGGGACAAGGGAACCTGTGGGGCTCGTGCTACATTTCAAAGGGAGAAGCACTGCAGTGGGATTGGTGCAAGGGGAGACTGCTTCAGTCCCTGCTTACGCTGTTTCTCCACTATGCCTCTACCGACCCCAGTGGAGATGGTGCTGGGGGGACTGGCTTTCAAGCCAGTTCCCTGCCAGCACTGGCTCCAACCCTTGCTGTCTCTCTCTGATAGAGGCAGCAAGGTGGGGAGGAGAAACCAGTCAACTCACTACTCGACTAGTTGCTTACATCTCTAGCTTGCATAGCTATTTTATGCAGATGGAAGACAGCTCTTCTATCAACATAATAAAAGCAACTTAAGTGGCCAATCCCCAACAGAATGTCTTCCACTGATACAGTGTGTGCACATCAGCGCATATGCTGGCAAAACGTACTAGGACTGTAGTCAATTCATCAATAAGCAAAAGCTTATAGGTTAATGCCATAGACGATATACATTCCACTCCCTCCCACCATCAGTAAATTTTTTAGCAGGCAGGCAGCCCAGCTTGTGCCAGATCTGGGACTTACCCCCGCTGCAGCTCTGCAATGAAAGTGTATTAGGAGCCAGAGGGGCAGGCAGCCAGGCTCAGTCTCCCAATGGGTCCAGGAGCTCACCCACTCCCCCCCAGACAGGGGCTGCTGCCCCCCTGCACTGCTGCCTCTGATACAGAACAGCAGTGCAGAGCGGCAGGGGGTGCCTCGGGAGTGGGGCCAGCATTCTCTGGCTGTCAGCCTCACATGCTGGGGGATTATAGACTAGTCAACTAACTGATGATAATTCATGATAATTATTTAAACCACCTATTTAATTAACCAATATTTAGCATCCTTAAAATGTCCATCATTCAGGGGTATGGCTTTTTCATACATCTTAGTAACAAAGAGTTAGGAAGGACCTCTAGGAAGTTAAGTTACACGTTGAATTGTTCCAATCTCAGGAACGAGAGTTCCTATAGTAGGGCTACAACCGATGCAGCACTACACGAGACACCAGCAGCTTTCTGACTTCCACGTTCAACTATTACAGTCAAGGGTTGTTTTAAGTGGCGATCCTGCAACGATGCACGTGCCTGCAACGACTGTGCAAGGCCCCAGACACAGCCAAGGAAGAAGGCGCAGGCACCTCTTGCTGCTCAACGTCTCTGGTCGACCGGGGCACTGCAGGCTCAGGCCGTTTTGGGACAAGGGCGCGCGCTGGGCATACGCGCACGGGGGACGGCAGGTGTCGCTCGGCGCCGCTCACCAGGTGTAGATCTGCAGCTCGCTGGAGGGCACGTTGCCGCGGGAGAACTCGTCCATGCGGTGGTGCCGCCCGTTGTTGGTGGTGAAGACCCTCAGCAGCAGCGGGCACGTCTGCAAGGGAAGCACAGGCCGGTAGCGGCGGGCCCGCCGCTCGCCGC